GGCAGTGGGGCTGGACCTGATGATCTCATGAGGTTCCTTCCAGCCCCTAATGTCTATGAAATCTATGGATCTATGAACTCTGGAATATGAGATACCTTGTTAGAGTCAGGGTTAGAAAAGCTCACTAGAAAGACTCTGGTATAGTGCAGGAACTGTGAAATTCCCAATAGTAAAATGCATTAAGGTAAAACTTGAAGAGAATTGGAGCTTGTATATAGAGTACTAACTAGATAGGAAGGATTAGGGTGTTGGTTTAGGACATGGGAGTTCTGGATTCATCCTCCTGATCTCTCACATACTTCCTGTGGCACCCTGAACAAGTTTCATTGTCCCAGGTTTCTTTAAGGTTAGTTGTTACCAGTAGCACAAATAGATGTGGGGAAGGTTGATCAGGGCAGCAGCCCTAAATACCACATTTATGGGGGGATGCAAAAGCAGCCACTGCTATAGTGGTACCACAAATGGCATGGCAGCAGCCAGAGCTATTCTGTGTCATGGCTGCCCTGGGTATGGAGTTGCCCTTCTATGAACTCCCAAATCACTGGGAGTTAGGCACTTAACCTTTAAAAATCTGTTCTTCAGCCTCTTAACCTCAGTTCACTGTTTATCAAATAGGGATAAGAACACGTCCCTTCCTTGTAGGGGTATTGCTAAGATGAATGCATTAAAGATTCTGAAGTGTTCAACTAATAAGTATTCATGGGGGCCATAATGAACTGGCCAGACAACTATGGTGAAAATAATAACATGATATCTGTAGTCATTAAAAATAACTGAAAATCAAGTAAAAGCCCACAAATATATTCAAAATGCTCATGGAATATCAAAGCATTGTGAGGGGTGTTAGTTGTGGGATTCTGGTGGATCTTAGTGGAATCTCATGGCACAAAGCAGCTCCAACATCTTGAAAACTCAGGAATAATTGTTGCTATGCAAAAATAACCAATAAACTCCTCTAAAGTAGTGTAAGAGCAGCACGTCCCATGTGCTATTTCTATTAAACAGTTTAGGAGAAGGCACAAATTGGTTTCAATTATTGTGGTTTCTGGCCCAGTTCTTCTGAAAAACAGGACAAATCATGCAGGACAATAAATGAGCTGACATACTTCAGGGTACTTCCATCTCATTTACAAGCAACATAATACTGCTTCTTCAGTGGAACATAATTATCATGGAAGCAAAGTTGACTCCTACAAACCCCGGATTCATATTGGAACACAGTCTGAAGAAGCCATTAATACCAGAAGATTCTAGTCTATGGAGGAAAAAAAAAGCAGAGAGGAACAAGAGGTTCTTGCTAGCAGTATTACAAGACGAGGGGAGGAACTTCCGACGATATCACTAGAACGAGGTTTTTAAGAAAGCAGAATGAGTTTCCCCATGTGTTTATTAGAACATAAGCCTAAATGTAGGGGGTCTGTAATAGGTTTGTGGGCATGCTCCATTCCCATCTAATCTCACATCCTACAACTTGGTATCACATGTAGCTCTTTGGAGCGGTTCTTCACAAATTATTCTAACTTGGCCAACTACCCCTGGTCAATCCTTTGTGCTAAACCTTGGCATTTACTGTACATCTTTTAACACATGGACAAGCTAGTATGACCTCAACTTTCCCATTAGCTGCCCCATACCTCACAAGTTTGATAGTATGGAACCTGTCAGGCTTTGACTCCCATTGATGGTTCACCAGGCCCACCTCTCATTTTGGTCCTTGTGATTTCCTTACCTTAGGAGGAGAACTGCACCTCCACAATCTTATATTTTAATAGACTCTTATGCTAAGTACAGACAGTCAAAAAGCCTGCGACTGAATTGATTTGGTCTTTGCAGTTTAGTCTAAGTTGCAAAGATTGAACCAATAAGCAAATGAACAGATGCTCACTTTTGATTCAGGAAATGCAGCCACATGCCTGCAGTGGCTCAGGCCAGAAGCTGCTAGAGCATGGCTTTCTGGCACGTAGCCAGCATGGGCTGTGTGTTTGCTTTCTCTTCCTGCTACCCCCAAAGTCTCTGGGATTTGCAGTCCAGACTCACAGCCGCAGGACTCTGCAAGGTTGCTCATCACTTCCTCTTCCTGCTTCTAGGTACCTCTTGGATTTGTAGTCCATAGTTGCAGCCAGCATGAAGTAAGCAGGTGGGGCAGCTCTGTACTCAGGGGAAGGGAAGTTTAACCCCCATCCCTGGCCCCAGACTCCAGCAGGGGTTTTCCTGGGTGGGTCGGTGACCCAGCCAGTGAGCCAGCCACCACTGCTCCAGCTAGGGAGCAGAGGACCAGGGCCATCCCTGCTCTCTGGAACAGACAGCCCAGCTCAGCCCAGGGCTGCAGAATGATGGGATGTTGGGGGACTCTGTTTTAACTTGAACCAGGAAGAGGTCTGGGACAGAAGTTTCATTAACTGGTTTGACCTAAATCAGTTAAGTCTGATACTATGTTCAACCAGATTTATCTTAAACCAGTTTCAGCCATTTTGAAACTGGTTTATGTGCACTGAACATCTATTCTGCTACAGATTTAAACCAGTTTCTGATCACTTAAACCAGTTTATGTGAAACTTCTGTCCCTAGCCTTAGAAGTCCCTTCCTGACTTGCCTCATATGGCACAGACCAGCTGTCTTCCCCAGCCACTCAGGGACAGAGGGAAGAGTATGAGGGACATTGGCTCAGTCAGTTCTTCTGTAGCAGGAGCCCCCTATTAGAAGCAAGTGAGTGCAGTGCTGTAGGGAGGCTAGCTGCGAAGTGGTAAGCAAGTTGCCTGAAGAAACAGGCAGCAGGTATAGGTGATAAGCAGGAGGCCCATTTTCCCTGATGAAAATTGCAAATTCTCTGATAAACCCCCCCAAATCTGTGATTAAACTGAAAGGCCCCCCCACAGCCCCCTGGCCCTGCTCCTGCCCCTCACCCCCCATCCCCCCAGCCCTGCTGGTTGCCCTTCACCCTCAACCCACAGTTTCTGCACCCCCAGCCCTTCTGGAGGGGCTTCCCAGCTGCCAGGGCTATGGGGCTAGGGACCTGGGTCTGCAGCCCCTTGCTCCTGGCAGCAGGTGGTAGCTGTTGCAGTGAAGCAGAGCCTGGCTCCCCACACTGCTGCCTGCTGCCTGTCTGCTGTTCCCACTGCAGAGTGCACTCCCGGGGGGCAGGGGGTCCTGTGCCCCCCAGATCTGTGCGTGGGGTGGGGGCTGCACACTGCCCACTGTGAACTCGGGCTCCCACCGTGCTGCCCTTCCACAGGCATGTGCACCCAGTGCTGCAGGGAACAGCGGAGCCATGCAGGAAATCTGCTTGCTGCTGCAAACTCTGTGCTGGACTGGCGACGTGTCCCCTGCATGCAATCGTGCACCACCGCCCCTGCTGCAACCACACCTGCAGGGGACACGTCGCCAGGGCAGCGCAGCACAGAGTTTGCAGTGGCAAACAGCTTTCCTGCGTGGCTCCACTGTTCTTTGCAGTGCTAGGTTGCACATGCCAGGCTGTAGAGGACCCAGAGGAGGGCAGCAGGGAAGGAGCCTGAGCCTGAAACGGGCAGCCTGCACCTGCACCCTGTGCTCAGATCTGGGGGGGCACGGGTCCCTGCTGGCCCCTAGGAGTGCACACAGTGGCAGGGAGCAACACCTGCCTGAGCCCGCAATGGGCAGCTTGTCCTGCCCCCACTCTGTGCACAGATCTGGGGGTTGCGGGTCTCCCCTGCCCCCCAGGAGTGTGTGCAGCAGTGGAGAGCTGGCCTCACCCTGCTGTCCCCCAGACGAGCCACATCCCGCCACAACCCCATCCTGCTACCTGCTGGGGCCTTCCAGCCACGGACTGTGGTCCTGGGCCCCAAGCCACAGGAACTACCTGACTGGGCAGCAGCCCCAGCCCCTGCCCTGCTCAACTCTCTCCCTATGGGAGCCTCAATCCCCCCACCCTCACCTGCAGGAACTGCTCTTCAGGCTGCCTGGTGGCCATGTGCCCCCTGCATTTGCCTCCAGTAAAAGGTAAAATCTGTGGTTTTCTCTGGTTTTTTGTGGGAAACAGAAAACCCAGATCCCTGGTGATAAGGAGGTGGACTAGAGAAATAAACCTGTTAATGAGGGAAAAAGAGAAGCCCCTGAGCCTGGCAGCCAGGTGATTGAAAGGCAGGGGGAGGCATGGAGAAAGGGCCATATGAACCTGACCCCAGGGATAGAGGCTTGGACTGGCTTTGATCCTGCAGGAGGACGGAGTTGCTGAATGCCTCCTAGACATAAGTGGTTTTGTGTTAGGGTTGTTTGTGTCCTGACTGGAGGTTTGGGGTGGTTGGGAAACCACAGGTGGGGTGTCAGGGAGACACTCCACTTTGGTGGGCTAAAGCTAAATTGTTTAGGGGCTGAAGTCAAGATAGAGCCCTGCAAGGGCCTGAGGCCCAGTGGGCTACAGGGGCTGCCGTAGCAATGTGCCCCTGCCTGCCTGGCAAGCAGCCAGAGCAGCAGCGGCATACAGTGTGCCACCCACTGCTGCCAGGTGGCCAGGGGGCATGTGGCCAGTGCAGGGCTCCTGAGGAAGGGCTGCAGAGTGGGGAGCCCCAAGCCTGCAACTGGCAGCTCGCATCTGTCCCTACCCCTCTTGGCTCTGCTCTGACCATGCTGCCGGTGGAGGTAGGGGAGAGGGGGGCCGGTCAGGGAAGGTATGTGTCCTGCCTTCCAATTTGTAAAAGGTGTTCACCCTAAATATAGTTAGCCAGGCCTGCCAGTAGGCCACTAGGAGAAGCTAGGGGGTCAGCAAGGTGGGAATTCAGATTATCAGAGCATCACACTGGGGTCTAGGTTGGGGGGCTGAGGACACATGTACCAAGTTTCAGAAGACGAGAGGTAAAATCTGAGAGATGTAACCTGAGAAGTGAGCCAAGATCAGAAGCCAGGGGTCAGAGAGCCAGTGCCTAGTTTCAGGGGAAATATGAAGTCCGAGTCAGGAGAAGCCAAAGCTGAGTCACGAGCCAGGAGAACTGAAAGGAACAGAGGGCATGAGGATTACCAGAACAGACTGAGACTGGTTAGCGGTGCTTTCAGCAGCCAATCCAGTTGCTCATCTCCATAGACAACCAGGGCAATCTCATTAGGCAGGGATCCGGGGTAGGTGCGATGGCTCAAGTGCTCGGCTCAACTGAGCATGATTAATCAGAGGCCCTGATACAGGGGGCCTGGAGCTGAGAAAAAGGATGAAAGAGCAGTATCTTGCTTGGGCAGGGACAGGGGCCAAAACAAAACTGCCTAGGGGATGAGCAGGGCAGAGTAAAGCACCCAAGGCTTACTCTGGTCTCCAAGGGCAGCCTCCCATATTTCTCAATTAGACAGCAAGACATGGCAGGTGAGCATAGGGCAGTGAACTGAGAGACTCTAGGGGGCCAGGCTGGGTTGCAGTGGCTGCTAGAGGGTGCCATGACTGTCCTCTGGAGGCAGACCCTGTCACATCTTTCAGACCCCAAATGGCAGTATGGCCAAGTTCATGGGCTATGGCATTGCCAGAGGTCAGTATAAATTCCCTGGGCCTGTCTATACCTGTTGCATCCCTGGGTTAGGGTTTCCAGACTCAGAAGCCGTCTGTAATGAGCCAAGGCCCAGGTGGGGCTTATCTGACCCCAAGCTCCCGCTGGAGGTATTCTGACAATCAGGCTGAATCACGGCTCAGGAAGAGGCCCTGCCTACACTCGTTATCTATACTCAGACCAGACAGTGGAGACTTGTGACTCCATGCTTCAAACCTCTAGTTAGGACCTTCCTACCAGACTCTGATTGTTCTTGCTCTTGCTCACTTCAGTTCCTGTCTTGGACCGCTTAGCCTGGATCAACTGGTTGCCTTAACCACAGCTTCATCTTGACCTTTGGCTTGATAACCTGGGCTTGGATTTATACCAGGCAGACCTTGGCTTACACTCTGGTAACCCCCTGACCAAGCACACTCCACTTGGACTGACTGCCTATGGTCTGGTCACTCCCTTAGACTGCCTAGGCTTGTGCCTCTAATTCCCAGGTCAATTCTTCTTTCTGGCCCTTTGGTTGTCACCCACAATGATCTATTGCCTTGCACCTTCCCTGGCCTCTGGCTGCCTACTGCGAGCTGTTCAGTACCGGCTCTGGAGCCCCTTTCTCCACATGGGCCTGGACTCTATGCCCCAGCCCCGGCCCTCCTGACTGCCTGCTGTCCTGGGACCCGCTGCTTGCTGTGTTTAAGTTGCCTTCTATAGATTTGCTGGAGGGCAGATCTCCAAACTCAGAGGAACAGCACCCCTGGTGCTACTCTCATCTTTAGTAATGGGGCATAGGGAACCCTCTTTTAATATCCAAGATTCAAATTCTCCTTCCCCACAGTTATGAGCTGGGGCTAACCTAGTTTTCAAACCCACCTGAGGAAAAAAATGAACCAACCAGAAAACAGACCCTGAGAGATTTATCCTTACCTGAAGAACAAATTTGCTTTACTGAAACAATGAGGAGAAGACAAAGCCTGTTTCAATCTTTAACAGAGCCTGCTAGGAAGACATGGCTGGGGCTCTTTACCATGCAAGATAGTTCTGCTTAGCACTGGGGAGGAGTGGAGGCTGTGCCTAAGGACACAGTGGAGAGACCAATGAGGGAGAATATGTTTATGGATGTCTGGCAAGATACTGCTCTGCTTCAAAGGACTTTTGGCAAAGATTTTAGATCACTAATGAAGGATCAGCTCATATGTGAGTTACTGCTTTTGATTGTAAAAAATGCACTCTATTTTCAAGAATTGTTTTTCCATCTCTTCTCTTTATCGGATGACTTCTGAGAAACAGGGTTTTTGACTTACTATTGTTGGCTGGGATCCCCTTCTTGCCCTGTTTCCTATCATCAGAGTCACAGTCCTAGTTGTTTTGCAAAACATAATATATTGGCAATAATACTACTATCCAAAGACCTCAAGGAATGGATTGGCACAGACCCACTCTTGGTTCCTATGCATAGCAGAAAGTACTCTGAGCCTATCTCTATAACAAACCCAGGATTTATCTGCATCAGACACCATCTGCTATCCACATTTTAATCTCACTCAGCTGCTCATGCTAGGCTGGACCTGAGCAAAATTTTTTCCTGGCTTTTAGAGGCCCTTCTAAAGGGAGACTGAGTTTATTTATCAGCTAGAATCAGAACCCCTTCTGCCTAGCTACACTGCTCTTCTCATCTTCTTCCCCACAGCAAATAGTTTCTTCTGTGTCTGCTTCCCTGTTGCTTTACCACAGGGGTACACTACAGGCCCCCTTAAAGGTAGTGCAGGGCTGCACCATCTCAGGACTTGTAAACTGAGGCCAGCAACAGGTTACTGTATCCCCCTCTAGCCTGGACCCTGGGGTAAGCCTGGAAGGAATTCTGTTTCATAAAGGGGTGGCTTCTGGGTCCTGTTCTACATTAGGGCTTCTAGGATATAGCAATGTCTGTTAGTAGTATGGGTTTTTATAGCTTTTCTATACCAGCAGAAGCTTGTTTATGACAGCATAAGCTGGTTTGTTGGGACAGATGAACCAATATACTTTCCTTACATTTGACCTGAGCACAGTATCTCACAGGGCATGTCCAGACTGGTGTAAATTGTGCAGCTAAAGAAAGAGTCTGGTCCCTGGATGGAAAGCTCCTTCTGGAAGCACAACAGACCCTTGAGCACATAATGCTGTGGCTCTTAGCCATGGCCCTTAAACAAAGTAGTGCAGCATGTGCACCTGCTATCTCTAGAATGCAGTAGCATTTTCCAGGCAGACTTTAGGGTGACTGAGCAGCTAGGACAGTAAATTCCAGGTGCATATCCACTAATGCAAGTCTATCTCTAAGTGCTCTCAGACTAACGATTTCTGTAAAGGGAAACAATCCACCCATCTTCAAGCTTACAGTTAGGGGAGTTCTCCAAGCTCCAGCTGCAGTTATTCTGACCATCAAGAGCTCTCCAGGAGTTTTTTTTTTAACTCCTGTTGCTTGTAACTAAGCCAGAGTTTTGCATTAATTGACAATTGTGGAGGAGGAGCCTTCTCTCAGCCCCTCATGTCTCTTCAGATGCTCCTTCCTATGGCTTTTTGAAGACCCCTCCTGTGTTCCAGTAGCACTGGTTGCAGCAAGCATCTTCAGAAGGAACTAAAATAAAAAAACAAAACCCTAAGCTCAATTGCCAGCAAAGCACTTATATGAATGGCTGTTGAATTTAAAAACAAACTCTCAGTCACAGAAGAACAAAAAACCAATGAGCTTGACATTTTATCTGTGAAGATATATGTATATGTATCTGTGAATGATAGGATTCCAGACCCAATGAAGTCATCTCTTGCCTGAGTGCCTAGGAGAATGAAGTGATCCATGTGTGAACATCTACCACTTGGGTAACAGCAGTGCAAGCTTCCTACATGCTTATGTTGCCATTTAATTGTCCAGACCAAATGACTGCAAAACCATGCCAGGGAGACCTGTGTTTCAACTTATCTCTTGTCAGCAGCGTTTCAGCTCAGTATTTTTTTTCTAGTGAGAACTAGCCTATCAAAACTGTGTCATAGGTTTGAAGATTCAGATCTGATATGAGCTGTCTGGCTGTATAGAGCTCAATCAATTTATATTAAGGTATAAATCTGGCCCCAAGGCTAAGAGCCATGTTCTATAATGTAACTTGGCCTGACCTAAAGGAGAAGAGTGTTATAGCATGACAGAGCACTGATGTGCTGTATCCTATTGTGTAGATTGGCCCTGTAGTCTGCACGCTTAGTTAGTCCATAGCAGGAAAGAATTGCGGGGAGGTTGGCTGGTGGTGCACCCATACCCACCCTTTGATTCTTGCTGCTCTGAAAAATTAAAACAAACTGCAGGGGCAGTTTGCTGCAGAGGCTGCATTTTTATTTGGGCAGAGCTAAAGGAGTGGATTTACTTTATCTGTCATTATTATCTACTTGATTGTTGCTAATCTCTTCACTCCAAAGGTGTTAACAACCCTTGACCTTCCACTAATCAAGCTATCCTTTCCTCTGCAATTATCCTGTCATGCACTTCCACTAAAGTTTCTCCGCTCACCCCCCAGCCTGTCCAGTAAAAGTATTCTGCTACTTAGGAAGCAGTACCAGGTGGCTTTGTTCCTGGGGGATTCAAACTCATTGGGCACACCTACATGTGTGCTTTAATGTGCATTAGCCTATTTTAATGTGCATTAAAGTGTCCCCAAAACACACACTTTTTAGCTAATGTGCATTAAAATAGGCTAATGCACCTTTTTTCTAGTACCTCACAATGGAGGTACTAAATTTAATGCACATTACCTAAAGTGCATTAATGTAGACATGCCTGTTGCAAATCAAAGGCAGGGAGGGGAGGAGAAGAGCCAGGCTGAGAACAAGCTGATATTTTAGTGCTGCGGTGGTCAGAGGCAGGAGGGAGTTGCAAAGGTGAGGCAAAATAAGTTCCTACAGTGACCTTTTCCTGGGTTAATCATTGCAGCAGATGGGGAAGACTGTGAGAGGCTGTACCAGCAGTGCAACCAGGGCAGCATAATGCTGGCCTAGGTAAATCTGGAAGGATTGGTCTCCCTGAGTGAGGGTGCTGTCAGTGGTTGAAGTGACTCTTTTCAACCCCAACCCCAACCCCAACCCCAACCCCAACTGTTTATTTCTGTGTTTGAGGATGGAGGACAGTGGAGATCAACTATGGGCATGCTGTGGGGTAGGAGGCTAGTAGTGTGAAGAGTGGTGGTGGAGACAGTTACAGCACTGCCCCATGGTCAGGGACTATGGCGGGGGGAGTTGTTTGGGAGTGGCTCTGCTGCAGAGGGGGACCATGAGGGCTGGAGTGGGGTCATAGGCATCACAGGGCTTTTTGGGGATGGGAGAAGGACTGTGGAATAAAGGGGGGTGGGGTAAGGAGAAATCGGGGTGTTATGGGGGTGTAAGCAGAATATGGGGTTTGGAGCTGAGGGGTATGCTGCAGGCTGTGGGGTGAAATAGACTCTTAGGGGGGTTGGCAGCGAGACTGTGGGTGAGGAGGGCCCAGGTGGTATGAAGGGCTGCAGTGAGAGTTGGGTGCTCAGAGGGGCAGGGGAGGGCTCACTGGGGTGTGAGATGGGGGGGAGGATGGTGGGGCCTGGAGCTTGAGGCACAAAGGGCTTGGACTAAACATGCAGGATATGTGGTTTAACAGGGGACAGAATGGAGCCAGGGCCATTTGAGGTAGCAGGGGTAATTCATAACGGGCAGTGAGGAGCACTTTGGAGCCACGGTGGAGTGTTTGGGACACCCACATGTTGGGTGCAAGGAACAGTTATGTCTGCAGCCAGGTTTGGGGTAACAGCTATACTTCCTTGGCACCAGGTGCCTGCCCCACCCTGGAACAGTAACCCACCCTACCAGTTAGTTTTTGTCTTGACTTAGGTTTTAAACAGAGTGATATAGCCCTAAGCCCTTACCGTATTAGTAAAGTGTCTGTTTCCTTTTAATTGGAGAAAAATATGCATTGCATTATATAAGGATGCAGGTGATATAATTCATCATCTTTTCAAAATGCTGGATCTGCCCATGGTCCATAGTGACTTACCTCAGGCTTCCTGTAGCCTTTCCTTTCAAGGAATTCCTTAAAAGCATGTGTCCCATGGAGCTGTATGACCTCTGCCTCCTAAGAGAATTTCCAGAATTAAGTTGAAGAGCTCCATATGCAGGGAATATTTTAAATAAAGTACACTTTTGTTTATGCCTACATCAAACCAAGAGGCAACACAAAAGGGCATTTCTATGACATTGTCACATGTGCTAGGTAACCATCAGAACTTGAAAGTATCTGATTTGCTGTTTACATAAAGATTTGGTAATTTTGCAGGAGATACTTTGCAGAGGAGGGAATTAGGCTTCCTTACAATGTGAGTGAACACTTGCAGATGAATGATGTATTTTCCAGTGGGCTTGTCTACATGTACAATTAATGCGCAGAAAGCTTACTGCATGTTAAAATGCTGTGCACTAAGCTTTCCCTGAGGGCTGGGAGGGGTGGGAGCAGACTCCTGCCAGAAGCAGCAAATGGGTGCACATTTAGAATTTTTCTGTCTTTTAACTGTAAATTATTCTGGAGTAAACCCAGCAAGCAACATTTGCACATGTAGATGCACCTGCTGATAACCTAGTGGATTCTCTGAGGAGTCGTGTAGTGAGACTGAGGTCTGCCCAGTTAAAAAACAGAAAAATTCTACTCTCCTTTCTGTAACAAGTGATATTCCTCCAGGCTACGTGGGGGAGTCTGCACATACATCCTGGAGGTGGCTGGTGACTGTCCTATTTTGGGCAGACTTCTCCATGCAGCCTGGGGCTGTCTAGAAACTGTCCTGAGCAGGGGCAGGTCCCAGCCCCATGCCACAACTGGGCAATTGAGTCACAGGGTTTGGAAAGAGCTGCGGGGTCAAGGAGAGGGGGACGGGGGGCAGGTCCCAACCCCCTGCTCCAATTTGCCCATGGGCCAGGTAGCAGTGAGCCCCCAGCTGGGCAGGGATTCCCAGCCGATCAGGCCCACTGCTACCTGGCCCACTGCTGGATCGGGGCAGGGGGCTGGGACCTGCCTCTCCCCTGCAGCTCTTTCCAAGCCCCCTGTCCTTGATCGGGAAGCTGGGGCCAGGAGCTACCTGCTGCTGGGACAGGGGGACATTGCACCCTCCTGGGTTCTGCCACTGGAGCCCACCCCGGCAGCAGGTATCTCCTGGGAGCAGGGAGCAATCTGGCCCAGTGCTTCCTGCCAGCCCCTGGGCTAGTACCCAGGGGGAGGGAGCTTCTAGCTTCCCCTGGCTGCTGCAGGAGGCCAGAACAGGGCTGGATGGAGTGGGAGTAGACTGCTGCTAGGAGTAGTAAATCGCCTCCTGAATCTGCACATGTGTAGACTCCTGCTCAGGGTGGGTCTTAGGGGTGTGCAAAGTGGGCCCTATTCGATTTGGATTTGGATTCAGCCCAAATCGGGGACAGCGATTTGGTTCGTTGATTTGGTTCACTGTCCCTGATTGGATTTGGCCGAATCTGAAGATTTGATGCTGATTCAGAGAATCAGCAATTTGGACATAGCTGCAGCTTTAAAAGTTTTTTCTCCATACCTCGAGGTACTAGCACGGCTTGTGAACGCTGCCATGCTGGGGTGCATGCAGTGTTTTGCAGGAGTGTATGTTGTGGGGGGGAGGGGGGGGACAGGGACAGGCTCTCCGTGTGCTTAGCGGTGAACCCAGAAGTGGACCAGAAGTACTTCCAGTCCACTTTCAAGTCTGCCAGAGAGTGTGCAGGGGGATCCCCTGCACCCTCCCAGCTCGGCGATTGGCTCCAGGGGGGCCCTGGCTCGGGTGCACCCCCCAGACCCGGGGGGGGGCAGTGTGCTGTCCGGCAGGCGCAGAAGTGGAGTGGAAGTGCTTGTGGTCCACTTCTGGGTCTGCTGCCAAGTGTGCTGGGTCCCCCGCACTTCTGTGAGACACTCCATCCGCCCCAGCATCACAGCAGTCACGAGCCCCTGCTACCTAGAGGTATGTAGAAAACACATTTAAAGCTGTGTCTGTGTCCAAATCTCTGAATCTCTCCAAAGTGATTCAGAAAGTTCCAATTTGATTCAGAGAAATTAAAGGGTCCTCTGATTCGATTCGGATTCGGTGATTCGGCCACTGAATCAAGCTGAATCTCTGCCGAATTGAATCAGGAACCAAAGCTTTGCACAGCCCTACTGGGTTTACTTTAGAGTTATTTTCACTAGAGTAAAACCACCCTGCAACATTTGCATGCATAGATGCACCCAGTGGATGCATCTATACAAGTCGCTTTGTCACTGTAGCTAGTCACTATGGCTACATAGTGTCAGCAGGCATGAACTGTGATGCCAACGTGACTGCCCAGTAGCAATGAGCTACTGCACAATAGGGTTGGAAATGACCTGTGTGGCGCCAGTTCTGTGTAGTACCGGTGGTGACCGAGCAGTCAGGTGCACGTGTAGACGTGCCCAGTAAATGCTAATGCTGTCCACAGATTGCTAAAGTTTTCATTAACGGATTAAATTGACATCCTGCTCCTAACACAGAATCTGATTCAAACTTATCCCTTCTTTGGCTTTACCTTTATTGTTAACATAATCAAATAATCAAAGTACCACTCCCTGCTTACAATTTTTCTTGATCTTGACTATTCCCAGGTATTTTTTTCTTGCAAGACTCATCTGACTTTGCTCTTATTGTTGTACATCACAGAAGTTCAAACCCCTCTTATCCTCCTGGGGTAGAGCTAAGAGAACCCATCTGGTCTTATAGCCACATGAGTCACAAGAGCAGCTCTGCAGTTCTCCGAAAGTTCTTGGAGTCTGACTCTTCTATAATTTTAAAACCCAAAACAATGGGACTGCTACTTGTTCTAAGTCAGTGAGCCAAAATTGTGCAATCATAATTGCTTTATTAATCTGGTAGTGTAAGTGTGGTTTAGCTGTGCTGGTCCAGAAATTATGCAAGAGGCAAGGATTTCTTAGTCTGCTTTGTTTTCTTGGACCAACTGCATGGTTGGGATAGAGCTGGACAAGCTTTCAAATGCAAGACATTCTGTATCAGGTCTCACTGGTACCAGCCAAGCACAGCAAAGTAAAAATGAAGAATGTCTTGCATTTGAAAGCTTGTCTAACTATCCCAATTATGCAGCTGATCCAAGAAAAAAAATCACCCTCAATATGGGTGAGATGATATAGTTGAGGACAGTCCTGCTTTGAGCAGGAGGTTAAACTAGATGACCTCCTGAGTTCCCTTCCTACCCTAGTTGTCTATTACTCTTATCTGGTACACTCTCTTTCCAAGTGATCCACTGCTAAGATCTTACACTTAATTTTGAAAACTCTGCCATCTAGTGAACCAAGAGTATCTTTACCTTTCTTTAAACTTGCAGAGTCCATGTACTCCATAGACGCACATTTACATAGGCTTATTTTTTCCATTTTATGCTATGTATGAATCCAGTCACAGCAGTCTTTTGCTGCTGCTGTTAATAATCAACCTAATTTTATCACTTAGCCTCTCTGAGGTGCTCTGGCAATTCAACAGGACATTGCCAACAATTTTAATGCCTTATCACAGCCTCTAAGGCATGGATTTCAAGCATCTGGCCTGTGAAATTGTTCCATCTGGTCCACCAGGCTACTGGTCAGCCAAGGAATTTATGGGCATGGCTGGTGGGGGTATGGCCAGCTATGGAAATTGGGGGCCTATGGCTCTGATTAATATGGCCTTTGGGCAAGTGAGAATTATGTAACAGCCCCTGCTTGCCCTTTGGCCACTTGGCCCACCACAGCTTGTGCTGTCTCCACCATGGAAAATGACTGTCTGACCCAGAGCCACTTGCCTTACTTGCCACTGCTGCAGTGGCTGCCCTTGCTACTATCCCCATAGTCTGAGTCTGATCTGGCTTGTGAAGAGCCCCATGGTCCGGATCTAGCCTGGGTCACAAAGTGAGTTTGACATCCCTGCTCTAAGGGACTTAGGGTAGCTGTCTGCTTCACCATTGCTGGATTCAATTGCTTTATAATGGTGGATATTACAGCCAAAAAATAAGTTATTTCTGAGCTATTTCACATGCTTGATTTCCTCCATGAAATAAATGTTTGCCATATCTGGAAGTACCTAGCTGGTATTTACTAAAGCCAAATACAAATTAAAAAAATATTTTGAAATAAGCACTGATTTGAGTTGAATCAGTCCATATAAACTTGCTATTATGCCATCAGCTAGCCTAAGCTAAGTGAATTGATATGTTTGTACCAGACAAGCCAGTAGGGTGGATGACATGAACCGTTCTACCGTTCATTGGAACTGGGGCACATAACACTGTGTGTGGAAATGTTCTTTGACTTAAGTGAAAATTACACCATACATTCTCCAGGTGCTTACAGTACCTTTCCATTAAGTCGCATTTTCATGTTCTGAAAACTATCAACAGGTGCTTTTGGAGCCTCCAAAGGTTCATTTGCTTTTTGTTTTCTCCATGTTTTTGGGTCAAGGTACCAGGCTCCATACCTAATCTTCTTCCATTTTGTTTGGGAAGGATCCTGTTAAAAATAATCAGTGATATTTCCTAATTATTTTTATATTTGCCTCTTTTCTCCCACATTAGCTATGTAAACAACTTCCCTCTACCAGGTGGAATGTCAGACCTGATCTATGTGTGAGTCAAGCACATACTGGGTGCGTCTACATAAAACATTTTACTATGCAATAGTGTAGTTTACTGCACAGTAAGCATGCATGTCTACATGTGCGCATGCTTACTGTGCAGTAAATCTCACTAACAGCAAGTAAACTTGCTACCTGTAAATGCATAGCAAATTTACTTGCAGTTACTAACAGCGCAGTAGCGCTCATGTAGACACCTGACTGGGAGCAAATCTGGATAAGGATCTCAAGCAACTGCAGAGCTGGTACTGGGAGCTCCCTGCTGGTTGGGACTGCAGAGCCTGTTCCCCACCCAGCTCCATGATCGCAGAGCTGGGTGGGGACCAGGCTGGCGAGCTTGTTCCCTGCTTGGCTCCATGAGCATGGAGCTGGGTGGGGAATAGGCTCCCCAGCCTGTTCTTCACCCAGCTCTGCACTCACAGAGCTGAGCAGGGAACACGCTTCCCAGCCTCTGCCACGCAATTGTGGAGCTGGGGATGGGAACTC